TTCCTATAGCGAACAAAATAAACAAACTTCCTCTTTTATATATATAGATCTATGAATCTGTTACTCTTCACGTCAACATTTTATGGTAATAACATTTCTTTCGTGCCTTAAGTAAACGAACTAATAATATGTTTTCATACTAGCCTTATGATTGTTTCTACACATTAGTGCACTTCCTCCTTTTTAGCTTTATTGTTGACCTTAATTTTACCTGAAAGTCTCACTTACTAAGGAAGTGACGAATTGTAAGTTAGACAAGTTTCATATCTTAGTTATTAGACAGCAGATGGAAATACAGGGAGAAAATTCTCCAAATATAAATCAATGTATGTAAATAGTCACGTGTTTAATTAAAAATAATTTTGCTAGACTCTTGTTAGGTGATGTGTTTTCTCTTCATTACTCTGCCAGACTCTGTTGTTAGGTAGTGTTTTTCCTTCCTTACTCTGCCAAACTCTGTTGTTAGGTGATGTGTTTTCCCTTCATTACTCTACCAGACTCTGTTGTTAGGTAGTGTTTTTTGTTGTTTTTTTTCATCTTTACTCTCCCAGACTCTATTGTTGAATGATATGTTTTTCTTTATTTTCTCTGCCAGACTCTGTAGTTAGGTTATGTTTTTTCCATCTTTACTCTGCAAGACTCTATAGTTAAATGACGTGTTTTTCATTATTTACTCTACCAGACACTGTTATTAGGTTGTGTTTTCCCTTCATTACTCTGCCAAACTCTGTTGTTAAATGATGTGTTTTTCATTACTTACTCTACCAGACTCTGTTGTTAAGTTGTGTTTTCCCATCTTTACTCTGCCAAGCTCTGTTGTTAGGTTGTGTTTCTCTTTTTTAATCTGTTAGGATCTGTTGTTAAGTTGTGTTTTCCCATCTTTACTCTGCCAAGCTCTGTTGTTAGGTTGTGTTTCTCTTTTTTAATCTGTTAGGATCTGTTGTTAAGTGATGTGTTTTCCTTACTTACTCTACCAGACTCTGTTGTTAGGTTGTGTTTTCTCTTTTTAATATGTTAGGATCTGTTGTTAGGTGACGTGTTTCCCTTTTGCTACTCTGCCAAACTGTGTTGTTAAGTGATGTGTTTTTCCTTACTTACTCTACCACACTCTGTTGTTAAGTTGTGTTTTCTCTTCTTTAATCTGTTAGGATCTGTTAGGTGATGTGTTTCCCTTCTTTACTCTGCCAAGCTCTACTGTTAAGTCGTGTTTTTTCTTCTTTAATCTGTTAGGATCTGTTGTTAGGTGATGTGTTTTTCCCTTTATTTACTCTACATTTCGTCTATTTCAACTATTGGTTACAAAAGACAGACCAGTACCATTCTCGAAACATTTGTTAGTTTTCTTGATAAAGCTGTACCAGGTGAAACGGTGTTAGAATATTTCTGTGAAAGACAACTACTTTATTTAAATACACTATAAAACTTCTTCTTTTTCTCAAGTTTGTACCCAGAAGACCTTTTATGATTAAGACGTTTCCTGGTACTTTGATTATGTTTCTCAGTGCATCCATCACATCACTTCTAATAATAATACACAGAACTGGTACCAATAAGCTCTCCAACGTAGCACACGGCAATACTAAACAAGTACTTGTGTAGCCAGTGCGATGTCTGATAATATAATAAGGACCTACGTGCAGTTATCTAAACGAAATAAAACGCATTTATTAATATAATCTGTTACTGTCTTCAGCCCAATATGGAGATTCGTCTAACTGTATTACCGTAATTTCGTATATAAAACAAAAATAAATTAATAAACTGAAGTAATCCGGCTAATTTTCGGCCTCGGCTTATGAACGAGTAAGCTCTCGTTTATACGGAGGATTTTTGTTAAGTTCATGAAATAATTTGAATGGACTACTACGTCACACTCAACAAAATAAGGCGTGCTTAACCTCAATTGTATTATTCGACGTTTTTATATTTTATTTGTTGAACTTCGCACAGCACTACTTGAGGGCTGTCCGTGCTATCCGTCCCTAAATAGAAGTAACAGACTAGAGGAAAAGCATCTAGTCAACATCTCCCACTGTCAAGTCTCGGGCTACTCTAATTGAAAAGGCGAGCATGTCCGGTGATGGGATTTTCATATTTGTTAATTCAACTTATAAATTACTGTTTATCATATAATTAAAATTGTCAAGCCAAAAACAAATGAAAGCCTACTTTTGTAATAAACTTCGTTAAAAATTGTTTAACCGTTCACGTGACGTTGTCTCTCTTCAGGACTATGTGACAACAACACATATTACATTTCTTGACCTTCTTCCTGTACGACGGTTCACATGTACTTATCTTACTTAAAGATCTTATTCAAACTTATACCTATACATACAATACACATAACAGCCACAATAAGATCCGAAGAACAATTCAGTTCAACAAAGCTGACAGTTTTTACCACCTGTTCGTTTCTCATAGGTAGTATCTTTCGCATCAGCCACCTGTTGGTCATTTTGATAACAAGTCGTTAGAAGTCGATTTCTTTGATCGGAACGTGTCTTTTCTCAAGCTGTGACACGTAACACTATAATTCTGTCAGCGTACTTATCCCATTTTGGACTCACTTCTGTCTGAAAAGTCATCCCCCAAACAGGTTTGAACATCATTTCATAGATCTAAAACTCTCTTGTTTCTTTGTATCGTCTTTCCTTTCCTATAAGTTAAAATATATCAGCAGAATGACATCAGTTCAGAAATGACATAATGCATTTTTACAGCAGATATGCAATTAAATGTTCCTACACTGTATGCTCTTATCTAGACTTGAAAGTAAGTACATTCTGGCAATTTGATTTAAAACAGTAGAATGGTGAAACTTCATTGGTAAATAACTTATGTTGATATTGTTTTTGTTTTGCTGGAGAACTAAATTTTAAGTTTAGACAGTCCAGGTTAACTTATTTAGTTAGTTCAATACGTAAATTGCAAAATTAATTTAAAATTTGGTGTTTTTCAGTGTTCTATAAACATGACAAACAGCGGAAAGTTTCTAATATTGCTAAGTTTGGTGACGATTTATCTCCAAGTGAAGTCACAAGATGATCAGCGCCCTCTACGTCTTATTAGTAACACTGAGTGTGATAGGTATAACCTGGATGCCCTATACCATGAACGATATAAAGTAATAACTAAGGACATTTTGACTGGTGAGTTTGTTTATTTAATAAACTCTTCATATGCATTAATTATTTATGATTGGTGAGATTCGAGTCTGCGTTTGTCGGTGTAATAATAAAAGTTCTTAAATAATTTCTAATATACGTTATCTAGTGATATACCGTGTAATTCAGACTTTTCACTTTATGTAGGAAGATAGTCTAACACAAGTTGGGGCTCAAAAACAGAGGTAATTTCTGATTCACAAAAAGCATGTTTTCATGAAAATAAAAGGATGTCGAATGAAAGAAAGCCTAAACAGAAAAACCTTTTCGTTCAATGAGTTTGTTTGTATGTGCAAAACTACACAATTGGCTATCTGTGCTCTGTCCACTTCAAGTATTGTTCAATGAGTTAGGCTTACCATGAAACAGGTTGCTGTTTTTATACAAGTTAAAGTTTATGTTATTTTACTGCTCAATATAAGTAAAAGAAACATAAACTGCTTCCTTTTTATTTTCTGATAACACAGGCCTGCGATGGGTTTATTGTCTTGAAATTTGTACATGCTCTACAGTAATTCCTGTACGCTGAATCCGAAAATGATATCCATTTTTCTTCATTACTTACAGATTTTTCACAATACGTCATAACGCAATACATAAAAGAAAGGCCACAACACTTAGTTTAAGACTAAAAGACGTAAATTTCATATACACAAAATCAGGATGAATGAGGATGCATATTCGTTTGACATCAATGTTCTTTCCTTTTCTTCAGTTTGTTTGTACTTTTGTCAACAAATGTAATAATAAAAAATGTTCATTGTGGTAAACGAAATAATAATATGATCTAAGGAAGTTTTTTTTTTCATTCTAATTTGTAAAAGATCCTTATGTGATAGAAAATAATAATAATATTATTTTCGAAATCTGCGTAGCTGAATTATGGAAAATCCTTTATTAAAACCAAAAGAACGTTTAAGAAGTTTATATTCGCAAGCCAGTGTAATTGTTAATATTTATGTAAACATTATAACTTTATAGACAATGCAAATACCCCCCCCCCCACGTGGCACAGCAGTATGTCTGCGGACTTACAACGCTAGAAACCAGGTTTCGATACCCGTGGTGGGCAGAGCACAGATAGCCCTTGTATAGCTTTGTGCATAATTCAAGACAAACAAACAAGCAAATAAATCACAAGAGGTGTATGTTATTACACTCCTTTAGAGGTGATTTTGACCTACTATAATCAAACAATACGGACACATGACATATTTTTCAACTGCGGCATATAAATAATATTTAATAACTGTTAAAACTCGAATTGTATCTTTGATTATATATGTTTATTTGAATAACTGCGTGATTAGAAGTTATCCTACCACTGTAAAATGGTCATTATAATAAATGAATCTCACAATGCATTTTTAATTGAAGCCGCTATATCTCAGACAACACACAGAATCAGAAGAAGCGACACAAACAAATTATTTAGGTATTTATCATAAAACAATTAAGAAGAACCCGTACTCATCCAATGTCATCTATGACATTTACTCTCATACATCTGCAGACATAAAAAGACGTTTTTAAAAGTAATGGGAAATATGGAAATTTTTATCCTAAATCACTTTAATTAAGTTGATTAGGGATTTATATATTATGTATTACAACGCTAAAATTATGGGTTCAATCCTCGCGGTGGACACAGTGCAGGTATCTCAATGTGTAGCTATGCACCAAAATAAATAAATTATATTACTTAAAACCTATTTAGGTATATTATATGTTTTCCCTAGAGATGAAAATATTTGTCGAACGGATGACTGATCGGATGTTCCTAAGCCTACAAGATGTGTTGTTACAGCTCCCAGGACGAGAATCTTCAGACAAGTAAAAATTACGATTTTGTATTATTTGTAAAAAGCCTTACGGTGTTTCATGAGATGACTTAAGTTCAATCTCTTCTGTGCAGTAATGAAGTCAATTGTTAATTAAACACGTTAACTATTCCATTTGTGACTTTTTGTTGTTCGATTGCCTATAACTTTTTCAGCAAATATCCAGCAACGAGGATAGTCCTAATGATTCCTGTGTTTTTCAGTGTATGAGCTATTAAGGTTGGAAATACACAGATTAATTGTACCAGTGATCCATTAGCTTTTAACTTTAAGCATTGTTAAGACCAAATAAGGTTGTACATACACAGATTAATTGTACTAGTGATCCATTAGCTTTTAAGCAGTGTTAAGAACAAATAAGGTTGTACATACACATATTAATTGTACCAGTGCTCCATTAGCTTTTAAGCAGTGTTAAGAACAAATAAGGTTGTACATACACAGATTAATTGTACCAGAATAAGGTTGTACATACACAGATTAATTGTACCAGAATAAGGTTGTACATATATAATTAATCTGTGTATGTACAACCTTATTCTGGTACAATTAATCTGTGTATGTACAACCTTATTCTGGTACAATTAATCTGTGTATGTACAACCTTATTCTGGTACAATTAATCTGTGTATGTACAACCTTATTCTGGTACAATTAATCTTTGTACATACACAGATTAATTGTACCAGAATAAGGTTGTACATACACAGATTAATTGTACCAAAATAAGGTTGTACATACACAGATTAATTGTACCAAGGATGTTGTATATCATTTATAGCTTTCAGCTGAGGTTGCAGCAGATAAGTCTTATTCTAGTTTCGAATATCAACTTAAAAAAGTAAGTTCGGAACTTTAAATTTGTGTTGTGTTCATACACTACTCATGTATTGTTACATTAAGGTTATGTTTGGACATAAATGTGTATTATGACGTTAAGGCTGCATAAGAACACAGCTCTATACTGTTGTATTACAACTGCATTAGTGCATAATTGTTTATTTTCTACGTTAAGACTGAATTATGGTACAACTTTCTGTATTTGATATTAATATTATAATTAGGGCATAACTCTGTGCTGTTGCATACGGTTGTATTAGGACGCAAATCTATACTGTTACATTGAGGATTTACTGGGGCTCAAGTGTATATTGTTAATTAAAGGTGTGTAATCACAGTTTTATATTGCTTAAGTAAGGTGTTATTAGATAAGGGAACGTCTTTACATTGCCACATTAAGGTGTATTACGTTCAAACTCTATTTATATGTGACATTAAAGTTGTATTAGGCATAACTCTGTACTGTTGCCTTTGTATTCGAGTACAAGTCGGTATTGGGGCATTACAGCTGTGTTAAAGTGCAATTCTATATTTCAGTCAACTAATTATATAACTTTTATGCTTCCCTACTTACACGTTATAAGTCTGAAACTAAAATCGCCATATATCACGATAATTTGATCAGAAAATAGTGACTTTTTAAATATTTTTAATATAATCAAATAAAGTTAGAATGTGTACCCACAAACACCGCTACTTTGTACATAAATATGAAAAGCTCCGTCCAAATAAATCGATAACAAATGTTGGTTTAATCCGCACATCTTCAAACTTTACATTTCATGACAAAGTTTTCCTTATACGCGTTTTTCTGGAATTTCAATTCATTTATTCTCTTGTAATAATTTCACATGTGTAACAAATATCTACGTATTTTTTAAAATGAAAATTGAGCACATTTTTTTAATGTTAATATCTCGTGTTTGTTTGAAACTTTATAACATTTAGCGCCATCTGTTTAAGATCTTTGGTTTGCTTAGGGCAGAGGAGAGGATGTATCGCGTCTTTGAGGAAAGCAAAAAAATATTTGCGAAAAAGATGGATAAGATTGAAGATAACACGACAAAGGCATGGGAAGCACTCCTAGACATGAACTACAAGTTCATCACCGCCCAAGAGGAGGGTATACCGGAGCTACTAATTGAAAAGGTTGCCCAATTAGAAGGTTTGTTTATATGTTAATTATATAAAAACGCGCGCTTCACATATAACACATGTGTTGAGACTACGAAGGTGGTCTGAAATGCATTGTAATGCAGCCTACACACTACAGGTGATTGTTTCTGCAGGATAATGAGAATTTTTTCCTATGTTTTTTCTTCTTCTTGTTCTTATGGAAAATAGCTTTAAAATTAATTCAGACGATACGATGACAAATCTGTTCGAGAACTAATGTTTAATCATTTACTTATAGCACGGGCAAGCCACGAATTATTAATATTTATTTGTGTTTGTCGGTCTTGTGTGAACGCTTAGGTATATGTTGGTGGCCCGGCATGGCCAGGTGGTTAGGGAGCTCGACTCGCAATCTGTATTCGATTGTGAAGGTAACCCCACTCAAATATAATCTGATACTAATTACATAACCATCAAATTTGTCTAATTACTGCACTTTTTGTAAAGTTTGACACATGGAGAAAAAATGTTGTGATGAAATATATATATTATAAAATATGAAAGTTTAAAAAATTGAAATGTGAACTCGACTTTGTATTGATATTGATATAAACACCTATATCTCATGATAATTACTTTACTGTTACGTGCTCTTACGATTTTGCATTGATACTGATATAAATACCTATATCTCATGATAATTACTTTACTGTTACGTGCTCTTACGATTTTGCATTGATATTGATATAAATACCTATATCTCATGATAATTACTTTACTGTTACGTGCTCTTACGATTTTGCATTGATATTGATATAAACACCTATATCTCATGATAATTACTTTACTGTTACGTACTCTTACGATTTTGGATTGATACTGATATAAACACCTATATCTCATGATAATTACTTTACTGTTACGTGCTCTTACGATTTTGCATTGATATTGGTATAAACACCTATATCTCATGATAATTACTTTACTGTTACGTGCTCTTACGATCTTATACAATTACTTTACTGTTATGTATTATTTATGTATGATTTATTTGAAATGTATGCGATATCAGTTATCTGATGTGATTAAAGTTAGGTTTTGTAAATGTTTTAGAAGCGTATAATGCAGCAAGACAAGTCTTAGACACGCAGTTGCAGGCAGTGATCTCTCCAGTGAAGGTTTTAATCATAAACAGCTTGAACGGTGTAGAGCAGGTCTTAATTCGAAAGAAGTCAGAACAAGATAGTCATCATCATCACCAGCATCGTAATCATGGAGACGACGAAGCAGATTCTTTGGAAGAAAATGAACAACATTCAGGGACAAAAGAAAATGTAGAACAGGAACAGGCAGAGTCCCTCGATGGTTCTAATTCTTCGTCTTCCCCTGTCACGCTAAACGATGAAGAGGAAGTTAAGGTACACGAAGACGAAGGAGATAAACAGGACAAAGAGGAGAAAGAAGATAAGGAAGAGGAAAGTGATATCGAAAAGAAGAAGAAAATAATCCGTGATATTGTTCCCGGATTTTTGGGAACAGTGTCAGAATTGATTACTGAGAGAAATGTTGATTTAACTAAACACCAGCCTCAGGACGAAAGGGATTCGCCGTTTGATGAAATCGTTTTTGCTATTGTTATTGTAAGTGATCATTCTCAAATTGCATTCTGAAATGTATATAAATTATAATAGTCTTTAATTAAGAGAATACAAACATTTTCTTTTCGAAACTTACATTGTTTTAAATTAAAATGAAAATAATTGTGCAATTGAAGAAGAATCTCGATCAAGCGAAAAGTAAAGAATAACAGAAAATTTAAATTGTAAACGTTTGTAACTTCGATAATTTGCATGGTCAGGTGGTTAGGGCGCTCGACTCGCAATCTGCGGGTCGCGGGTTCGAATCCCCGTCACACCAAACATGCTCGCCCTTTCAGCCGTGGGGGAGTTATAATGTGACGGTCAATCCCACTATTCGTTAGTAAAAGAGTAGCCCAAGAGTTGGCGGGGGGGGGGGATGACTAGCTGCCTTCCCTCAAGTCTTACACTGCTAAATTAGGGTCGCCTAGCGCAGATATCCCTCGTGTAGCTTTGCGAGAAATTCCAAACAAACAAACAAACAAA